CTATTGCACGTGCGTACATCGCAATGACGATGCTGAAATGATATATCGTGCAGCCCTAATTGTGATAATGAATTATTTATTATACACAAATTATTTAATCACAACTTACGTGCTGTATTCATTTTTCCCCCCCAAGGTAAACATGGGGCATCGACAGGACACACACATAAAAACAAAACATAGGTTATTTAGTTCATCCTATAATATTTCAATTTCTTAAAATGACAATTAGACTGAATGTCCAAAACTGTGAAGGGGGGGGGGGGGGTTGTCAAGCTTTCCACACTATATGCTTCTTAAAAAAAACTTGCTCAACAAAACCAGCCAACTTTGCTTTTTTTTTTTTTACCTTGATAACATCAACCCAGTTCCATCCCCGAGGAAGTTCACCCTTGTTATCTGTTGGTTAAGTTGAAGACAGAAACATTATCGCTTAATGTCTGAGCTGGATGTCATCATAGCATCTTCCTTGTTTTTCTAATGAACATGTATGCGTGCATATTAATTAAAAAGTCACACTGGGGTAATGCAATTCAACACTGAAGCAAGTTTGTTTTACACTGACTTCCGGGGTGAGATAATTACACAAAACCATTCCCTACCATTTTGATTTAAAATATATGATCACGAAGGGTTTACTGGGATTCATATGTAATTAAAAAAAATCTATACAGCCCCTTTAAATGTATGATTCACCCTCAAATAGATACTTTGAAGAGACATCGTTGGTAAGTACAGCCTTGAGTCTCTACTTAGCAAAACTGCCCCTCCAGACTGAATGGGAAATATATGTAATAGAACATAGTAAATATGCAGACACTCCCCGTGTTACCATGGTCGGTGTTACAATATTTCAGCTTCACAATGAGTAAATGTTTTTCACTTTCAGTATATTATGCAATAAATTGCACGAGATTCTCAGCACTTATTTATAAATTAGGCTTTCTGTTAATGACTTTGCCCAACTGTAGGCTAGTGTTCCAAGTATGTTTAAGGTAGGATAGGCTATGATGTTTGTTGGGTTGGATGAACTGTATTAATATGCATTTTTCACCTTACGATATTTTCACCTTACGATAGGTTTGTCGGAACATAACCCCATCGTAACCCGGGGAGAGGCTGTACAATTTTTCAGTGTTGGTTGGCTCTTTAAATCATAGACCAGCCAATCAAAGTGGACAAGCTCTGTATTTTAGGCCAGTAAAAATGAGTCTGTTACCTGTTCTTCCAGTTATTTTCCTTTTTTGAGCTTTAGTTAATTGCTCCTTCTTTTCCTTCTTTTTGATCGTAGAGTTCAAGCTTGAAGAGTCGCTGCTGGATGTCAAAGTGACTGGAGTCTGTAAGGCAACAATAATGTCATTGAGAAGTGATTTTTCCAATACAAAATAATTATAAAAACTAATGCAAAGCAAAGTTAGGATGCAATGTCATGTACATCAGACATGGTGGCATATTATCCGTAATTAACCATTCACTTGTTTTGCCACGTTAGGCGGTACTTTGAGAGTTAAGTTTTATTTCAGCCTTCAGACTGACCATGGCTCCAGCAACTGGACGGTGGTTCTCCATGAGCGATTCCTGGTTTTCTTTTGCCCATTCATACAAAGTGTACATCATGGCAGTTCCAAGGTTGGCCTCCACCTGCTCTTCCAGTTTGGATACTATTACTTGCTTTGTTTCTGGAGATCTAGACCCAAAACAAAGAGACAGCAATTAGGCAGAAAGGGACTCAAGCTTCTTTCAAAAGCACAAACACTGACATGAACATGTGTCTCTCTTCAGAATTCACGTCAGATTACAATTTATTTACAATGCCAAGTGGCGTTTTACCGCGGTAATTTACTACACCTTGTGAGTGCAAGCTCCTTTCAGTAGTAGGGCATGTCAACATAATCACTGTGCTACATGCTGCCGATAGTACTCACATTCTATTGTTGAAAAAAGCATCTAAGGATATGTGTGGTGCTGTTTCAGGATAGGTTTTTGGCCATGAGATTTCTAACAGAAATGCTTTAGCATCGTCGTGATCTCCAATCTGAAAGCAAACACCCCGAAGATCAATGCAAGGCATGCGGTTCTTCCAAAATTACATATTCATAACAATATATATATATAAATGTAGTAAATGAAGTCGGTGTAGAACTGAATTTCACAACATGATGAACACACAATTAACAAAGTCTACTTACTCTAAACTGAAAAGTAACTGGGTTCAGCTCTTTAAAGCAATCATCCCCTTCATAAATAGAGCGAAGAGCCTCAAGTTCCATCTGAAACGTGTAGCAAAAGGTAACAAAAAGTTACACATAATGATAGACGTCACTAAAGTGTCACTATGCAACTGGTATCATTTCATTAAAATGTCAAGCTTTATTAAACTGTCAGATTTCTCGTGTCATACAAGATATTTCAGATTATACTTCCAAAATATTCGTGAATCAAATAATTTTGTGCATATCAAATTTACCATTACTTCACCCTCTTGCTACTGATCATTTTGTTAATCAGTAAAAGTTCAATTTGAAGTTATAGAACTGTTGTCCAGTCGAGTTGAGAAAACTAAAACAGCTACCATGAAACGTGATGACAACACCATTCGGAGATATGTAAAATAACATCTATTGATTACATGATGGACCGGTTGAATGTATATGTATGTGTATCTGTATGGACCCAAAAACTCAGGAGTAGCAATAAAGCCGTTGATGGTAGCCACCCGGCTAATGAAAACTGCTCGCTAGCTAGCAAGTTTAATATCTATCTTAATATTTAAGAACCAAGAACCCGGTACCTCTTGATCTTCGTTCGCAGTCATGATTTCGTTACCATTCACGCTGTTACACATACACAAGTTTAAAGTCAGTCGATTAAGCACGCAAAAGTAACATGACAAATGCACAGGTTGTCAAAAAGCATCAGCGGCACTCAACCCTCACCGCTGCACTTCGACCTCTGGGTGACGTCGAATTCACGCGAGACTTTGCGTAAGCTCGCGAAGTGCGTTGGAGCTTGTAAACAGGCAGCACATGGGAAGTACCAGTATTTTAGTTAGTCGCATGATCGCTTTTGATTATGGTGTGGGTGTGTCTTGTACGTTTCTTCTGCCTTTTATTATATATTTAATTTGTTAATATATTCTTTTTAACTGTATTTCTTTTATTTTTGTTTTTTATTGACAGCTCCATGCAAATATTGAAATTTTGGTCATTCGAAATATGAAATAGATTAATTCGACAGTTTTTTTTTTACTCAAAAAAAGCTTTATCTGCTTTATTTAAGTATTTAAATACAGGTTCACATAGAACCACATTAGAGACTGTATATGACTACCTAGGTGCCTTTCATTTCTTCTTGAAAAGCTAATTTTGAGTAGTATGATGCATTACACACTGTGATGGACTAGCATTCCGTCCAGGGTGTACCTTGCTTTGTGCCTTCCAGGGGCACCGTTTATGTCATCCCAGATTCTGAAAAAGTAATTAAAAGATAGGTATGCATCATTCTAGGGCTGGCCCCAGAAATTCAATGATTCGAATATTCGGTTGGAGACCCCTATAAAGAGTTGTGATTATTTGTTTGTTTGTTGGTTTGTTTGTTTGGGTGTCAGTCAGGGTGCATTACAATAATAACATGGTAACACAGACAGAACCTTACAAAGTGACATTTCAATGAGGACTTATAAATAAGGGGAATCATAAATAGGCCTGTATTTTTATATTCTAGAAGGAGGCTTTCTAAAAAAAAAAAAAACGATCCAAGTGCCCGGGTCGACCCGTACGTGACGCAGGTCAGTTTACCAGAAAATATCGTGGGTCGTGTCAGTGACAATGCAACTTACAGAAATGTTGCGTGCAGCTGGCTTTGTGTTATAGGCTTGCTGAATTGCATGGAATAGGCAAGACTGTGATTACCAGCCCACCTATTTGTACCTTTCCCTGTCACTGGGGCTGTACCCGCATGGGTTTGCCAGTTGTACCCTAGCTGTATGTAGTAAATGTTTTAGTATAATTTAAGGTACAGAAATGGACTCTGATGAACATCCCCAAGGTATAATACACATTAATGTACAATCAATGGTACAAAAATGTTCCTCATAGTCCATTTCTGTATCTTAAAAGGTACATTTACCCTTAAGGATACAGCCCCAGTGACAAGCAAAGATACAAATTGCTACTCTTTTTTTCTCTGACAGTGTACTTCATCTCGTCTTTTCATGATGTCTCCCAGTTACTGTGTAGAGAAGCCTGGCTTCCAGGCAGGTCATAGACTCCCAGAGAAGCATGGGGTCTGGGCAGGCTCCTAAAATACAACAATCAAAGCATAGTCACAGATAAGCTTTTCCATATTCTCTATTTTAATAAGGTGTACATGAATCTTCCATAGACTTAAGTGAAGCACGTCATCGGTGGGCATCTATGGACTATATATTTTTGTGAAACAAATAGCACTGTGGTTCAATTAGTAAGATAGATTACTTTTAATTGCAAAATAAAATGAATGTACATTGATACACTGACTAATTCAATTCTTTGGGCAATTTTATGGGTCTTCCAGTGAAGTCTTACAGCAATCACCGTTGTTTCCAGATTATGAGAACTACACAAATTCACTGTTGTCCATTTCATGAGTAGTAAATGTTGTCTACTCCTAGCTTAAACTGTCCTAGTCCAATCCTAGCTTATTGACGTCTGTGATGCTGACCTGTAAGGGATCCGTTTCCATCTTCACCATACCCGACATTTCTCTTTTAATGTCTTGTTCTAATAGCCACTCTTTCTTTGCAGATTTCAATTTTCATTTCCGGCAATGGAATATCATTACTTGGAAATCCAAAAGGGTTTAATTCAATCACATCACAAATACCAACTATTCTCCAAAGAATCTTTAATTAATTTATTGATGGTGTTTGAATTCTTATTGATTCATATGAATGGAAAATTCTTGTAATTGGCATAAGTACCTGTTTATAAAGTAGTTTAGAAATTACAATTACAGATCCTTCTTTAAATTTATATAAATACTCAGAAATACTGCTGGCATATTTATTGATAAAGATAAATCCAATACAAGATTAATTTGGAACAGGCAGTATAAAGGAAATAGTAACCAATCTATAGTCTAATGGTAGCAGTGTTTGAGAAGGTCATCTAACTGAAGAGCTAGTTCAGGGGAAGAAAATGATGGCAGCAATCAAATGTTTGTAATTAATTTCTGTATATATACAGTATATATAACACACACAAACACACAGGTTTGTAATTATATATTTGTGGGAACTCCATTCATTTATATGGGGAAAACTTTAATCCCAACAGGACAACCTTAACCCCTACCCAGCCCTAACATTAATCTTAAGAAACATAACATAATATGAGACTTTTGCCATTTTTACTTGTTTGATTGCATTCACAGATTTTTGTGGGGACCTTAAAACACAGAGAGAGAGAGAGAGAGAGAGAGCAGGGGTGGCTACAGTACCACTGCGCTAAATATTAAATAAATACATTCATTTTATATGGAGGAGGTGTGTGGCTGAATCAGTTTGGCTGCTGCCTGTGATCAAAAGGTTGCTATTTCAAATCTCGGGGTCCATAGAGTAGTTTCACCACTAGGTGCTTGAAGAAGCCCCTTAAGGTCCATTTGCTCCAGGGACTGATTGACCTTGCATTCTCAGGATGTGCTTTGACTTTTATAAAAATATTACCGGATTTCTTAAAAAGAGTTTCACTTTCTGTGTGGCTAGGCATGAAAATGGCTCAGACGCCTTACCTAAATTTTCTGCATCTCAGAAACAGCCACCTTTCAGGAATTTTTATGAAATACAGTGTGTAGGGTTTATAGAGAATGACACAATAAACAAAGAACGTCTACTAAGAGTCAAGTCTGGGACTGAAAACACCCAGTTAATGACAGAGGTCAGAGGAGAATGGCCAGACTCATTAAAACTATCAGGAAGGAAACAAGTGATAGAGTAACAGGTCTGGACAACAGAGGTGTACAAAAGGGCTTTTCTGAATGAAGAACTTGTCTACCGCTAAGTTGTTCTGGAAGCGAATGTAAGTTGCACCTGGTGCTACGCAGACGCACCTAATAAAATATATATCATTTCAAGATCATCTTTTGTCCTGCTCTAGGGCCGATATAGTCCCCGGTTTGTATCTGTGTCTTTGACCCTGCGGACCTGGCATGAGGCAGTCATGGACCTACTGGCAGTGAGGAGAGGAACAGCTGTGGATGGGCTTCAAACAGGAGCTGGCGGCGCTTGGGCGCCCTCCAAAGTCCACTCTGTCTGCTATGCCCCCCCACTGTCACTGACAGACCTCTTTAATTACTTTCCAGAGGAATTCAGACGCAGCTGCTCCGCTGACGGGGCCCCCTTGTCGCTGACGGGGCCCCCTTGTCGCTGACGGGGCCCCCGTGTCGCCGACGTGACACAAAGAGGAAGGAGACGCAGGCAGAGAGGAGCTCCGCCGGCACACGGAGATGATGTCGCCTCCGTGAGGCCAGATATGTGTTTTTTTTCTTTTTATTCCACCGTTTCTCTCGGGCTGGGGGTGCATTCAGCGAAGGCTGCGCAGCTTCTGCATGTAAATATAGCGGCTTCTCATTGGCTGGGCTGGGAGTCAGGGACTGGGGGAACCTGTGGGGGTGGGGGGTGGTTGCAGGCTGACAGGAAGATGGCCCCGCCACTGAGGTGAACCTCGGCTGGCAGAACAGCGGCTCTCTGCGACCATCCTCTCAGGCTCCAAGCACCAGGATCGGCGCGTCCAGGGACCCGTTTCCAGGGAAACGGAGCAGCGCGGCCACAGAGGGGTCCCTTGAAACCCCGGATAGGCAGCGGACCGGAATGACAACATCCAGCCGTGCTGCTGGGCCCCATCTTCTCGCTCGCTCTAGGACCTGATGCCACCGGCGGCTCCTCATCTCTCTCTCTCTCTGTTTCTTACGGGCGCGTTCCTGCGACTGAGCAGACACGGCACGCGTACGCGCTCCCCCCCCCCCTTCAGCAGACACACGCACGCACGCACACACATGCGCACAGACAAACACGCGCTCACACACACCTTCCCTGAGCATCTTTTCAGCAGCGGGGGGGTAGAGGAGGAGTCGCTTTGTGATGGACGTCTCTTTGCTACCGCGGCTCCATTGATTCGCCGATCGGATTCTGATCGCTGAAAAGAAAAAGCCATTGTTTCTTTTTTCCCTCCTTTTTTTCCATCACCTCTTCATCTCTTCCTCCCCCCACGACCGTGCCCTCCGCTGTCATCTGTGAAGAACGAGCCTCATCCCTGATCCAAGGAAGACGGCAACTGACGCTGGCTCTTTTTCCCGCGGCCGTGCTATTTCAGGCCAGTGCCCAAGGCCCCGGGATTTCTCGTTTGTTTGGACCTTTTGTGCGGCGCTGCTCACAGTTGGTGAAGCGCCCCGGCACTGAATTGAGCTATTGTTTGACTCCGAGGGTCTTTAACGCCGAAAATCTCCGGGCTCCCCCTCATCCACCCCCCGCAACACCACCTCCTACTTCAACCAACCAGACCACCCTCCCCCCCAATTCCTCCCTTACCTCCCCCTTCCCTCCTTCCCCTGCCTCCCCCTTTTCGCAGCTGAGAAGCCACAGTGCGTGCCTCTCCTCGCACGTGAATCTGGAAGCTATAAATCGGGACCGATTGCAAGTACAGTGTAATGCATTGTGGGACGTGTGCAAAACTGGATCAACTGAAGAAGGCAGAAGGAACCCAAAGTCATTCCTGTCCAGATCAACCGCATCGGCCACGCCAGCAGCGGTAACGGATCCGTCGTGTCTGCGAGCGCGCGCGTGCATGCGTACACGTGTTGTGTCTGCGTGTGCGTGTCCGTGTGTGTGTGCATGCGTGCGTCTGCGCGAGGGAGAGACGGAGGGACATCGTCGACTGAATAGCCGCCTGCCATGTCTCTGGCCTGATTGTGGCGGGTGCTCCGAGCAGG